GTGATGTGAGCGTATCGCCAACAGCTCGGACAACAACTCCACCGTCACACACCACAGAGCTCATAAAGTCACACTGCCATATGAACCCTGCGGCCACTGAAATGTTCCTGCCCAGTGCAAGGACCGCTAAGTGCTAAATATTGTAATAAAATCAAAAGTTATTCAGTGACTTTGCCATGGTACGGTGATAGAGGTTCAGTCTAAAAGACCCCGACTGGCTGTGAGCACCGGAGGGTCTCTAGATCGGTGAAGGGGACAGAAAAAGAAAGACTACAGCATTGTTGCTTTTTTTTTTTTGTAGTGTTACATAAAGTAGACAGTCAACTCTCCTCAGACACACAAAAACACTCGTACATAACATCCTATCAGTCCATTCGTTTCCTCCTGTTCCTTCATCTTCCCTCTCCAATGCAGGTATGATGAGGTGGATGCTGCATTTACATGGCTTCCATCGCCCAGCGCTGCAGGTCCTCCATGTCGTCCTCCTCGTCCTCTTTCTTGGCTTTTGGGAGGGTGAAAGGAGAGAAATGAAAACTTAAAAGCTGTGATCCAAACCCTGTCCATAAAATCTTTGTTGCAGCGCCTCTACTTTGAATCTAATTTGTTTAATCCATATAAACACACACAAAAAAAACTGCAATTCAGTGTTTTACTCGTGGCTAACTGCCTGGTCTCCTAGCAACTGCTGGGAACGGATAAAAAAGATGCTGCTGCCTGACTGGTGAAGTTGTTGTATTTGGTTTTTCAAAAGCCTCTCACCAGGTCTGGAAGGTAATGAAGTAGAAGGCACGTTGGGGAGGGGAACGTTCTCTGGCCCCCCAATCTCCAGCAGGTTCTTGTCCAGCTCCTCCTGTTCCAGCTCATCCAGCTCCGCCAGCAGCTCGTCCTGAGGAAGAAAGAAGTTGTACGATGTTTCAACGACTCATTTAGTTCATCAGTGAATTCGAACAATGTGAAATTTTCTCCGGCTTGCAACATTAGCGCAGGCTCAGAATTGATCCTACTCTTGAGCATGTGTGTACTTGGTGGGTAACAGTCCCACTTAGAGCCAGATAAGAACACTTCACGTCTGTTGGCTGGGAATTTAAGAAAGAGCGCATTCATTGTTTGTGCCACATCATCATCATCATCATCATCATCATCATCATCATCATCATGACTGAATGCTGTCAACTGTGGTAGAAATAGTCTGTGAATAGAGTCATTGGAAACTAAGGCCGAGTCGAAACTAATGCCAGAGTAATGACTCAAGAAGCACAAAGGTAAACTGGGTTTAGCCTGGTGGAAGGTAACAACGCTGACCTCTGCTGTACCAGGTCAACCCTGTGTCATTATCAACCCACCATTCAATCCAATGAATACCAGCCTCTGGTAGATGACCAGGAATATTTCTGAGTCGGTGTGTAAAAGCTTTGTAAATTAGCCTGAGGCAACATTTACGGTAAATTTCTACATCGATTCAGTCACCCATGTTAAAGCAGGAAAAAGCTGTATATCACATGCATCAGAAAATGTCAGAAAAGTAGGGCTCCAACTAAAATAGTTGCATATAAGACCTTTTATGCACTTTAATGCCGCTCTAACTGTCAAATGCACAGCAGTTACAGTAGCCATAGTGATGGAAAGTACTACAGTGCTGCCTGTTTATTAGCATACCCTTGGTCCAGGATGAAGTTATGACTATATCTGGGATATTCCAAAAAGCGGGTTTCAATCACAATGATAGCACAGAAAAATGAAAATTGTGTCTGTGTGACGAAAAACGGAGGTTTATACGTAAAGCCAAAATGGGAACATTTTCAGGAGATCAAAGGGACAGATTCTTTGAAGATGAAGAAATGTTTATTCAAATGGAGCTTTATGGTTTTGCTTCAGTGGAATTTCACCTTCGTCGGTATGAAAAGCCACCTCATCAACAAAAGTTATTTCCTTCACTCAGAGGGTAAACAGAGGATTAACTTATCAGGATTAACTAGATGAGCAGTTAATTTATGAGCGACTACATGCTCTGCAACAACGTGATTCTCTCTGATGTGCCCTAATTCATGTGTGTGAATAACTCAGTGAAGCAGATCTCAGGTGAGCATGTAATTGACAAACAAACAAACACCTCCTTGCCTCCTGCGACTGACCGGGGTGATAATCTGCCACGCATGACCGATGCTTGGCCCGTCAGACATAACAATCGGCCAACCACGACTTTAAATGGGCAAAAGTTATTCCTAGAATTAATTTCGGGGAATTTCGTTGTGACAAAAACTGGGATTATGACATTACTCTATGACAATAAACGGGCCGTATAGGTTCTATAGGAAACGATTCGGCACTTCAATAATTTATGATTAGAAACAGGATGGTCTATAAAGCGGTTGGACATTAAATGGGCAGCACTGTACTTTTATTTCTTCACTGGCTCTGTCAGTTTCTCCCATCCTGACATGTAAAACAAGCTATTCAGCTGTTCTGTCCTTTAACGACAAATTATTCTGTTGCTGATTATCATAAAAAACAAAATGAGGAGACAGTAAGAGGCTGGTGGAGAGGCAGAGGTCCAACTCAGACACACATAATGATCAGAGTGCAGCTGCAGGCAGAGACATCGGCTGAACTGCTACCTGTGGAAAAATCAGTCTGGAGCCCCAAAAAGTCAAAAATGTAATCATCTGAAAAGCTTCACCCACCTCGTCAAACTCCTCTCCAAAGCCAACAGGTTTAGAGATGGCATCCGAGATTTCCTGGGCCAGCTCCTGCTGCTCTGTGATGTCCTGCATCAGGTCATCCACCTTGTCAATGTCCCTAAAACAGTAGGAAAGATAGACGCACCATGTAAGCAGGACAAATTCAGTCGTACACATTTTAAACAGCTTTGTTTATGTTAACATACTGATCTGTTGGCAGAGTGATGAATTTTGCATGCAGCGATGCAAAAGCAGTTTATATACAAACATTGATGTTCATTTAACCTCTAAGTCAGAATGATGCTTTTAGCAGTGAAATGTGAATGAAGGATTTTACATGTATACACTAATGTCTATTTTTTTCTGTCTTTTGGTCGAGCTACACACTCACAAAATATCACATTTTGATGAGTTTAGATTAGAAAGGATTAGTGCATATGGGGGCTGCAAGGTGGTGCGGTGGTTCGCATCATTGTCTCACAGAAGAAGGTCGCCAGTTTGCGTCCTGGTGAAAATACCGGGACCTTTCTGTGTGGAGTTTGCACGTTCTCCCCGGGTTCTCCGGCTTCCTCCCACAGTCCAAAAACATGTTGAGGTTAATTGGTGATTCTAAATTGTCCGTAGGTGTGAATGTGAGTGTGCTTGGTTGTCTGTCTCTAAGTGTAGCCCTGTGATAGACTGGTGACCTGTCCAGGGGAACCTGCCTTCACCCTGAGTCAGCTGGGATAGACTCCAGCCCCCCATGACCCTAGTGAGGATTAAAGCGGTGTATAGATAATGGATGAATGGATGGATGGATGGATAGTGCATATGGGTCACATATCACTATCAACAAAGCTCATTCCTTGTAATATTTCTACTCATTCAGACGAGACTTTTGATTCTTCCCGTGGTCCCATAAAGGTGATTAAACAGTAAGTTATATTAGCTAATATTAAGTCTGATCGACTAACCAATCACCCACATTCCTAATCAGCAACCAGTAGCTCACTCTTACATGTTTTCATGAGCAGACTTCATGGCCTTGGCAGCGAAACTCATGTTCTTGAGCACTTCAGTGTTGGTGTTGGCGTTCTCCAGAGCCTCCCTCTGGAACTCGATGGTCGACAGCGTGCCATCGATCTGGGCGAGCTGCTTCTCGTATCGCTTCTTTCTTTTCAAAGCCTGCAGCGCCGCTGAGGACAGAAAAGCAGAGCAAAGGGAGTCTTGGTTAACAAACTGACACTAAAACAGATTGACCCCGCTGAAAGATAATTCAGTGACAATTAGGAGAAACTGATGAATCACTGGGGCTTTGTTTCTTTTTTTAACAGGAAAACAGCCTGATTAAGAAAGTGATTAAGCAACTGAATATCTGCAGTGTTAGCAACCGCATCTGATGCTCTGTGATCTTTGTGATTCACCACCGAGAAGGAATCCGAAACAAAATCCTTTCACTTCGATGTTAGTGACAGCTCAAACTACAATGGGGACAATTAAATATAGCTCACAAGAGGCCGAGTGGAAAAAGTGTAAAGTATCTGCCGCAGCAGTCATATGATCACGTCTACCAGCTCCTGACTACCTGATAGGCTGCAGTGAAACTGTCAGAGTGTCTGCTGGCACGAGTCATTCTGTCAACTTGTGTGGAGCTGGAGAGGGAAACAATTACAGTAATCATAATCAGAATAATAACTTTACTTGTACAGCACCTTTTGAAAACAAATTTACAAAGTGCTTCACAATAAAACAAAGGTAAACTCAGACGAAATAAAAAAACAATCCAATAAGTAGATAGCACATGCAATTTAAACACGGGAATACTGAAGTCAAGATGACATTGTTATATAGCACATCTAACACAACAGCCGATGTGCCTTCCAGTAAAAAAAGGATTGTGTTTAGTCACCTAAAAAGACTAAACATTGCAGTGAAGACCTTGCAGTGCCATTTAAACATGAGATTTTACCCAAGAAATGCACATATTATGGAATAACCCTACAAATATTATAAAAAATAACACTACTTTACTGTAATACATATTAGCCTGAGATCTAACAGTGCTATTATTCTGAAGAGTAATCTAACTAATGTAATATTAAAACTAGACACTATAGTATTATAGAAACGAAACCTAACAGCAAATTAATTAAGTATTCAAAGCAGGTACTGACACAAAGCTTTTCAATACACTTGATCTCTTCTTCCCCAAAATTTCTATTTGCAGTAATCATGTTATACAGTGGGTCAGTGGTTAGCACCATCGCCTCGCAGCAAGGAGGTTGCCAGTTCGCGTGCCGGTGAGGACACCCGGGATCTTTCTGCGTGGAGTTTGCATGTTCTACCCGTGCAGCGTGGGTTCTCTCTGGGTTCTCCGGCTTCCTCCCACAAGGTCCAAAAACATGTTGAGGTTAATTGGTGATTCTAAATTGTCCGTAGGTGTGAATGTGAGTGTGCTTGGTTGTCTGTCTCTAAGTGTAGCCCTGTGATAGACTGGTGACCTGTCCAGGGGAACCTGCCTTCACCCTGAGTCAGCTGGGATAGACTCCAGCCCCCCATGACCCTGGTGAGGATTAAGTGATGTATAGATAATGGATGGATGGACGTTGTATGATACTAACCTGCTATTAAATTATCCGTGTGCATTCATATTCCTCTGAAACTTTGTATCCAAGGAAGATTTTTTTTTTAAAATGTGATGAATCCCGTTTTGGCCTCCCAATTAAAATAACTAGATGCAACTCAATCCAAATGCTGCCACTACCAAAGTGACCAACACCAGGAAGAGCGAACACATTAGTCCAGTTCTTAGGTCTGTGTACGGGCAGCCTGTTAAATACAGAACTGACTTTAAGGCTCTACTTGTTGTCTAATAATCTCTGAATGGTTTGGGATCAAAATACAGAGTAAAAGCCTGGAAGGTCTGTCAGATCTGCAGGAACTCGTCAGTTAGTGGTGCTGGGAGCTCAGACAGTGAAACGGCATTAAGTTGTCATGCTTCAAACTGCTGAAACCAACTACAGCTACCTGTGGAACTAAACTTTGTCTCAAATGTAGGACTTTCATCAGTAAAGAGCTAAAGATTGCTCCTTTCCCCCCACTAAAAAAAATATATATAAAAAGAGTAAACATGCTTGTATTTTTTCCTTATCTCTTGTCTTTTTCAACCTGTTTTATTTGATCAGTTTAACTATTCTATCAATCAGTGTCCAGATTATCCAACTTGTCTGTACTGTTTTTGATTAACCTAATTAATTAGTCAATTTCTTACTTTTATTTGATTAATTAATTTATTTTTAATCTGTCTGTACAAGACTTTGAATAATCTCTGTGTATGGTACGGTGCTGTATAAATAAACCTGCTTGCTTGATGCCACCATCAGGCTAAAACTACCAACAACATTCCAGTTGGATGTCGTTCCTCTTGACATGATCAAGAACAATAACGTGTCCCACCACACCAGATCCTCTACAATGCTTCTGTCACACTGAGTTAGATCCCGGTCTGTAGCACTTTAATTCCACATCATTAAAGCAACGTGCAGTTATAGGTCATCGTCTTATCATGTTACATAATCATCAGGCTGCTGTAGGAGCAGCTGGAGGTTTGTGATCAAGGTGCAAACACACCCACCTCTCATGCACTCATCCAGCCCTCGGAGCACCACCTGAACTCAGACCCTTGTCCCAACACAGTGTGCCAGTATCTTTACTGCCAGTGTGTGTGCAGTAGGACGCCTGGCAGCTGCTGCGCCGCCTGCCACACCTTTCACCAAATTCTCTGATTTATACTTGGAATCGATCAAAACACGACTACCAGCGACGGGTTAGCAGAACACACGGTTGGCCTCACCACAGCGCTAAGAGGTTAAAACCCAACCAAATCATTCCCACGGTCCACACAATATCCTCCCATCTCGGGTGGCAACCGTGTCCGTGAGAGAGACGCTACGTGAGGCTGCCAACAGTTACGACAGCTCAGGAAAGTTAGCCAACTTAGCTAACATGCTAGCTGACGTTTAGCTGCTGGTGGTTGACCAGGCGATTAGATGAGCGAGAGCAGCGAACAGAAGCACACAACACCCCGATGTCTCACCTCGTTTGTTTTTCGTGCCGTTTTTCTTGGCGATTTGCAGCTCCTGCTCGATTTTTTTCTCTAAAAATTCCTGTTTCTTCGTTAGCATCTCCTCCGTCTCTCGGAGTTTCTGGATCGCCTCCTGTGGACTCGGTCCCTTTCCTCCCTTTCCTCCTCCTCCAAATAGCTTGACTATCGCCGACATATCTGGGATACTAGAAAACTCTTTCTATAAAAAAACAAATGAACAAATGCGTTATTAGCAGAGAAATCCGAGGCTCGCTAAGGCTACCTCAGTGCTAGGCTACTCCGACTCCTCGCCCTGGAACCTGGAAGGATTGTTGATGTTTTTCTACTTCCTGGATTAGGCCCGATGACGTCAGGAGTGGGCGTTGCCTGGTGACTCTCTGTGTCCATCTGCTGGACAGCTGCAGCCACTGCACTTCACTGCAGCTCCCTCAGGGTGGATTCACTCACTTTTACTTGGTTTTATTATTATTCTCTAGTGACAGCATTTCCAAATTAACACAGTGGCGGAATGTAACTAAGTACATTTACTCAAGTGCTGTTGTTAAGCACATTTCTGAGGTACTTGTACTGTATTTGAGTATATCCAATTTATGCTGCTTTACCCTTTTAACTTTACTCTTTAAACCACAGGAGGTCTGGGTTGTTAACAGCTCTGGGAAATATAGATTTTTCCATTTAAGCTTCTCATATAAATGTTTAAGTGATCCAAAATCTTCCCAAAAATCAGAGATGACAGAAAAAGTCACAAAACCAAAAACAGATTTGTCTATTAGAACTGTGATTTACTTTTCTACTGCTGTTCCATTGATCATCCCACAAACCCTCAGCTCTAAATATCTGATGTCCCTGTTTATAAAAGTGCATCTAAAGTAATTCAAACTAGCTTCACCTGCAACACAGCGGACACACTGAAACTTCACTAATAATACTCTGAAGATGTCACCTTAAACATTATGTCAGTCAGAAGAACCAAACCAGAACTTTAACGTTAACACTTAAACCACATTTTGCCGCTAAACGTCTACTTCATTAAAGAATCTGATCTAAACATTTCTTCCAATTTGGAGTTAAAACATATATTGTACAAAAAGTAGTATTTGCATCATATAGACGTTTTCTCTTTCAAGAATATTAAATTATTTCTCTGCTTATTTCACTAAAATCTATAGTTTCAGTGGATAAACACGTCCGACTTCAGTTTATTTACACAAATGAAACCTGGACAACATCAGTACTGGAAGTTTAGATTTCTGACCGCAAAACCTGTGAAGCTTTTACACACAAGCTGACTTAAGCTGATTGATGTGTGACCACAGGTGTAAAAGTCTTCCACCGTCCTCTGAATGTGACTGTGCAGGACCATGTGTACGCATGATGAATGCTTTTCTGTCAAATCTGCTAAAGCTGGAAGGTTTTTCTCTTAACTTTCACCAGTTTGCAGGCCAATTATACAATAAGTGAGGAGAGACTTCAGTTCACACACACGAAGAATGAACTTTTCAGTGTCTTCAGGATTTGGATTTTTCATTGAGAAAGAAGGAGTTCATGTAATTTAAAGAATTTTTCCAAGAAAGATCTTCTGATCTTAATATCCAGCAAATTTAAAGTACAAAAAAAATGAGTGATTTGAAGGAAAGATGCTAAAAAGAAAAAGTAAACCACTGCAGCCATTGTCGTCTTTTCCTTCAACACCCTTATGTGGTGAACAATCTTTTGTTTTTAATCCTACTTTGCAGTTAAACTGATCATCAGTGTTGTTTTGCTGCAGCTTCCCCCTGTGATAAAATAAACTCTGATCTTCATGCACACAATCAGTGAAATGTCCCTTTAATCTGCTAATTTTACCCGATGAGTCAGATAAGGGCATTTGATTTGTGCAGCCAAATGTTTCTCGCTCACACACACTTTGTTTTCAAAGACTAATCCAGATAAGAGCAAAGCAAACTTTTCACAGAAGCAGACAGTTGGGGGGTTTATGTATTTTAATTCATTATGATGCTACATGATCCATGGTGGTTGTTTAATTTTCTTCCTTTACTACAGTATGTTAATAACTTTGCCAGTTATCTTTTTAAGTACTTTGTCTTTTTTTATTTTTATGTACATACAAAAAGAGTATCCAATTACTGTGTGATTACATTGTTGTGACTGTATCTCTGCAGGTGTGGTCTGAAGCGCTGATGCCTTTTTTTTTTCTTTCATTGTTTTCTCTTTAATGTAGTGTGTATTCACAGGTCAGTCCTCCTCCCGGCTGCCCACATCCACACGTCTCTGCTCCCTCAGGCAACGAAAAATGTAGATATTTATTCTTTTTTTTTCTTTTCTTTTTTTGTTAAATGTTTCAACAACCCGAGTTTGCTGCGATGGTCATGTGATAGCCAAGATAATACAGCTGTGTTATCTCACAACCACCAGAGCCCAACAGAAAACAAACGGAAAAAGATGATCGAAAAGGAAACAAAACACACCAACTGAAAAACCAGACTCAAGATGGTCCCTTTTGAAAAGACAGTATTTCTTTTTTTTTTGTTTGTTTTGCTAATATAATTTCCAACACTCAAAAAAAAAATAAGAATAAATCCAGGCCATTTCATGCATACTGCAGAGTGCACAATTGAATATAGTGCATTTGAATATTATAAACAACAGAAGCATTGTGGCTACATGATAATACAAGGAGGGGGAGGGGGAGAGAAAAGCAAACAACCGCTGTAATACACCAGAGGACGCAAATTCAACACTCCATGGGCAAAATTAAATAAGGCGGCCAAAACTACTTGTTACATACTCTATGTTGTATATTGAAAATGCTCGAGTTGGTTTTGCATGACATGTCCACGGCTTTAAAGTTGGAAATTTCTTTTTTTTTTTCAGTCTAGCGTCACTCTCTCGACCTGAGGAAGCAATAAATCAAGAACTGGAAACATCTGATGTCTTGCACTAAATTACAGCTTTTAAAAACAGATCACTGAGCAGCATGTGTTCTTCGTCATAACCTCGATTTTACTGAGTCGTAATTTCTTTTCTTTTTTTTTACACATGGACCGAATATTGATTTACATTTTCTACAGATTCCTTGGTCTGGACAGTGACTGAAATCATCAAAAGTTTAAATCTGATTTGCAACAAACACCCCCGTTTTTCAGTTGTGTACAGGAAATCTGTTCAGATGACGTTTTTTTTTCTTCTTTTTTTTTTAATAACCAGCCCTCTTCCTTTGTTCTAAAACAGCCTGTGATTTCACCGTTTGTGGTCTCCTCACATAAAAACATCCACACACAGTCAGTCACATCAGCGCTCCTGCGGGAGGCCAAAAGAAAAAGAAAAAAAAAAAAAAATCAACAGGACGCACACACACGCAGCTTCTACTGGCTCATATTTATACCACAAACTGTTTAGAAGACGATACATAAAGTTTGAGTCTAGAAAAAAAAAAAAAAGTCTTTCACTGATCAATTGTGTTCAACTCTCCTTGCAGATTAACAGTAATAAGTGGAAGAGAGATTATCAGAGGAGGAGTGTTAGAGCTTTTCTTATAGACAACGTGAGCGAGGAACTTAAGAGTCAATAAAGAATCAATGAAAGACTTTAGACATTCAGCCAGCCTGAAGCCACTTCCACATACCACTAACTGTTACCTGTGCAAGTTGGGGAAGATCATTTAGAAAGTAGAGATGGACGGAAAGAACAGATCAAAGGTGGTGATTATTTCACAAAAAAAAAAAGAAAAAGAAAAAGAAAAGAAAAAGAAAAAAAGACAAGGCAAGACCTGTGACAAAAATGCTCGCACTCATGGTTTAACTTGGAATCGCCTTCCTTCGTTTTCTTTTTACACTTTAAATTATTTTCCATCCAAACAAACCATCATGATATTGCCTTAGATGTTAAAAAACAAAAACAAAAAAAAACAAACAGATCAACATAAACCCAGAAGACATCCCCGTTGCCATCACTGACACGTGTCCTTCCGAGCACGCTGTCCGTCCGTCCGTCCGTCCGTCCGTCCGCCCGTCCATCACTGTGCTCTGTCCGTCTGTGTCTCTACAGGGCCAGCTTGCCAATGATGACTCCGATCACAAAGAAGAGGACGCAGAGCGCCAGGACGCGGGTGCTCAGGCCTTCGTCCCTCATGGCTGTGGTCGCCATGGCGGAGGAGTGAGGAGCAGCCATTGATGTCACCTTTCTCTTTCGCAGGCCGTCGTCCTCCTGCGACGGAGAGATGTGAAGTCAAATCAGGTCAGCATGCGTTCAAATGACAGATTTCAAAATGTTACAGGAACGGCACAGATAAAACCACCCTCAGAAACCCAAAACCTGCCAGCGGGTTTGAAAGGTGTTTTTTTTCTTCAAATAAAAAGCCAGAATGACACCAATTGCAAGAACCTGAAACACGTGAGGCGTCACTGCATCGCAAAATGAAACCAAATCTATCTCTGATACATCATTAAATCACTTTACTCTACATGTCTGTGCTAAAAATCCCCCAAAATTTGTGTGCACGAACCACACTCCATAAAAAACTAAAAGTCCTGCGCGAGTGACGTGAAAAAAAATTGAGGGACTTTTTGGTTGGACTGATTTATGGCGCTACACCTTTGTTACACGACACAAAAGATATCTTTAAGTTCTCTCTACTTGTAGCCACGTTTGTGCTGCTTACATAGAGGTGCAGGACTTTACATGAAGCCCACAGGGAGTAAAACTGTGGCAGAGGGCAAATAAACACTCAAAACCTGCGGAAAAAGGAAATACTGTCATCATTCTACAGCCTGACCACCAGAGTGTGCTGAGAAACAAACTATTTCTCCACTCAATGCAAATCTTGCTCATACCTCTTTAATAACCACATTTAAGGAATTCCGACCCAGAACCTCATCTGATTGATATTTAAACTCTCACGTATCACTATTGGTCTTAAGAATAGAGAGTTAAGCGTCTGACTTTTTGCATCAAGTCATCCCAGAGGACAGGCTTGGTTTTATGCGTGGCGTTGCCTTAAAGTGTTGTCGGAAATAAACAAGATCATTAACAGAGCATTCTGATCTCACACACCTGGCTGCCTACGTGTGAATTCTGTAGGACAATTCCCTCGATTAAAATGTGGAAGATCATAAAAATAATGTAAAGAAATAACTGGTGAAGCAAGCATACCACTTCATTTCTGATGGAAGTTTTCTCCATTTCAATCAGCCCATAAAATCCAACTAAACTGTGTCTGTTGATAAAGAAATACAAACGCACCCCGTTACAAAATCACCTGCCATATGGTGAAAATTCCTGTATCTTTCATATTGCAGCCTATGTGTTGTTTTCTAATATCGTGCAGCCCTAAGATGTGTGACGACAAGTTATATTTTGGATTTTTCAAATTCAGAAATCAGAGCATTAGATGTAAATACACTGCTGCTCTTGTAATTAAAAAGTAAAAGCTGTGGTATTTAACAGTGAATACTACATTTAACTAAAAAACCCAAATAGTTGCTTCCAGAAGACTTGATTAAAAGACAACAGTTATTTCCTTGTGTCTTTAAATGAACCTTGTTTCTGATCAGGAATGCATGGAACTTCAGAATGCCATGAAAGCATTTAAACAGTGAGTCAGGACGGTGAGTCAGTCCATCAGGATGAGCTGCTCCTGCTCCATCTAAACCTCCATCAGTTCCTCCCACTTGTTATGAAGTAATCATGTAGACAGCGTTATTTTGTTCCTCGTCCCCTCAAAGAGTGAAATCCACAAACAGGCAAATTTGATGTTAAATTCGGGGACTTCTAGCTGCAGCCAATAGCTACGCTCCCTGCACCAACTTGGCAACTCTGGTAGGTAGATAACAGAGGAGCGTTTGGACTGAAGCGCTGCCAAATGCACGAAAAGGTTATTAATTTTTAATTTAATCATTTAAAGGCTGTTGGACTTGCCTCTGAATGGCTGAACAATATTCCTGGCAGTGAAGTTAACTGTGTTATCAGTCTGCATGATGTTGTAAACATGAAGTCAAGACTTTTTTTAATATTCAATATTTAAAAGAAAATACATAATGTTAGCCAGATGTTTCCATTTCTATACAATTATATGGTAAAGATGGACTACTCCAGCAAACGAGCAACGGCTGGGATGAACTCTGATAAACCTGAAGCAGTTTTTTTCCTCTCACAGTGCAACACTAGTCACGGCATCCAAAATAAATGTTTGTCTTCTATTTCCTAAGCTGTCATTTTCTGTTTGTTTTCTGTTATTTTCAAGCAGCACATTCAAGGCTGACACTTCTAAACTATATGTACAACAGAGGAAGTGCAGAAAACACAGGCCTGGCAGAAAACACAGACATGCCGCCTCTTTTTTTTGTTTCAGACGTCTCACCCTGATCTGTTTGTTTTCTTCCCGTAGCCTCTGCACCTCCATCTGCAGCCGCTTGCACTCCTCCATGATCTTCTTCACCTCGCCGTCATCCAGCGAGGCGCTGGCTGACTTGGGCAGCACAGAGTGCTCAGTCTTAACAGAGGTAGAGGAAGACACAGTTTTGTTGCTTTCACTCTCATGCTGTGGAGAGAGAGTGAGGGTGGGGGGGCGGTCGGTGGGATGAGAGGAGGGAAGAAGGGGATGAAGAGACATGCAGAGAGGTGACAGGGATTGGGATGAAAAAGCAAGTAAATCATAAATGAATAAATAAATCATGTAATGAGTGATGCTGATCGGTAGGAGACTGAAAAAAATACTGAACAAAAGAGAAAAGAAGAACTCTGCAGAAATGGAGCGCGGCACTATTATTCTAAGATTAATTTCAATCAGGATTTTGGCTTTCAGCAATTAAATGCATATGAGCAACTGCAATCTTTCTTCCCTCTGTTGTCGGGTGCTTTTTAAAGGGACTTGTTGGTTTCTCTGTGGAATTTTTAAGCTCTTCGTATTACCATGAGAGGTGTCTTGAGATTACATATGCAGTGAACTGGCGCCATACAAATAAAATAGAAGTGAACCGAGTATCAAATCAAGCGTTTCCGAAACTAACAACCAGCCACCAGGGATCTATTGGGATGTTTTGGATTCACTTGCGGGGAGCAGTCATGCCGCTGTGCACGCATCCCTGCAGCGGCAGTCTATGCAAAAATGTTCTCCACACTGTGGCTGCAGTCCACAGTAAAAGAATATTTAACAGAAAGCACACGGGCAAAACGAAATTCACATTTTGTTTGGGGCAGAAAGAGAAGAGCTATTAAAACAAATCATCATCGGCGTGTATTTTTGATTCAGGGCAAGTGATGTTAAGCAGAAGCAAAGAGTGCACAAGACTTGGGTTTGCCAACACAACAAACTCGTTCTTCCACCTGACAAACACCACAAACTGCAGCGCAATGGACGTATAAAGGCCGACACCAGTAACATTAAACTGAATCACTGTCTTTGTTCAGTGTCGCCTCATATCCATAACAGTGACGCTAAACAGTGTGTCACTGTATCGCCCAACATGAAAGTGAAATCAGTGCTTTTGTTGATTTAATTATGGATAAAAGGTTTGGCACAGTTTTATTCTGTTTTGCTTCTAGGAGATGCATCGTGAGTGAAGTCTGAAAAGATTGGCACATTAGCAGGAAGGTAGCACAGCAGGGAAGTGAAAACAGTGTTCTATGTAAATGTGAAAGCGCTATACGTTTCTCTGTCATGATAAATAATCATCATCTCAATACTGATCGAAATAATCAGGATGATCAGTTCAGGAATAATCATGCAGCCCTACAGAGACACATGATGTAAATGCTTCAATCTCATTTCATTCTTCATGGAAAATACTCAATAAATCTAATCCGTGACATACACAGTGGAAAAATTCTGCAGAATTGATGAGGATGTGAGAAAATGTGACTAATGTGCATCTATACCTCACAGTTCATGTAGAAAATGCTTACAGTGGAGCAAAAAATAAATGCTTATTAGCTGAAAAGACAAGCACACTTACAGTTTTGTCATTTTCTAGAGGCATCTCAAATGTACATCTCAACTTTGAATCCATCAGCTCTTCAGGCTTGGCCTCCTTCCACTGTTGAGATTGAGAAGGAAAGAGAGACGAACAGAAAGAAGCTTCAGTTAAGTTCAGACTCTTTAAGTTTAGTTTATGAACTTTACATGACTGATCTTCTACAGAATTTAAGTTTCAGGATTTGGGGCAGGAATTAGAAATGAATCAGCTTGGTCCACATGTTTCAGTATTGCTTATGAGACAGAATATTCACGAGTTCAGCTGGAGGTAGGTTTGTGAAAGGCCTCCGTTGTGCCTCATCATGAAAAACTCAAGTGTCAACAGTCATGAAGTGTAAGGGTCAAAACTCGCAAGAGACACTCAAGTCAGTGAAATATCTTTGTTTCCTCAAATCTTCTGCTCTGGTACTCACAACTCCTTCCATGTCAGTCATGTCATACGGAGCCAGCATGGACTGCACCATGAATTTGTGTTTGCTCTTTTCATTGGGATCGTAGTCAAAAGGCTGTAGCATAACTGTGGACAAAAACAATGACAGAATGGAGAGCCAGAACATTAGGGAAAGACTTACTTCCTGTATTGCCTCATAACAACTATTATGCAACCTGCCAATGAAAAGACGTTAGTCAGGTTTATGATTTGTGATACAATGTGGGCCTGCACTGACGACTCGTTTGGATGATTATTGAATGAATCACTGAACAGCACAAAGATGTTGATTATAATTCATATAAGAAATCCTGTTTGTTTTATTTTCATGATAAAGATAGAAAATCAGACTATTTTATGTCAAATATTAATGTATAAAAGCAGCGATAAATAAATCACAGGTCAAACTGAGTTAGCTGTTTTCTCTGCATGCTGCTTCACTGCAAAACAGTAACTCCAATTTTCTTTTTAGATTCCTTTGTATTATTGTGGAATATTTAAAAGGTTTTGACAATTCTATATCAAGGTAGGGGCAATTATGTCTTTGTTCAATTATATTTCTTCACTTCCAACATATTTCTTCTCTTATTCTCCTTTCATTTGGAGCAAGACAACATTGTGAGTATTTTACCATTGTTTTGTGCATATTTTAATAACCTCGAATTTGCAGTGATTTTACAGAGATGCCGGCAATGAATTTATTTCTCAAATATATTTCTAACTTCAGGTAGTGACTGCCGTATCAACAACGGAGGCTACAAGATTCATTCAGGTGCTGAAACACAATACAATCTGTCTGATAGTCCAGCATTTACTCTTCTATAACTGGAGCTGTATCAGTTTAACCATATGAGATAAGATTTCTATCTTGGATTTAATAGCTTGAAATGGCTTTACTTGCATTAAGAAAAATGATACAATTTCATGTCTTTTCTTAGTGTTGCTGCTGGGCAAAATGATCAATAAATGGCTGCCATTAGAGCCACAACAGTAGTGATTTTTTTTCCTCCCTTCAGATAGATAATACCCGGCTCTATCTCAGACATGTTTTCTAAAAGCAACTATCGAAAATCATATTGAAAAAATATGGACATGTGATCGTATCAGTATCATCCAACTGTCTGAATGAGACATGAAAACTGCATCTTCCTCTCACGATTGTTTGAAGGGGATGCAAAAACGGCTACGAACCAGAAACATTGATGGAGGTTCCAGCGTCAATGATGCCACTGTTCGGGCGGACACAGTATCTGCGAGGTGCGGTTGTCTTGACTTTGAAACACACATTTCTATCTGTGGGGTTGGTGAGCTTCAGAGTGGCGGTTACAACATCTGTAAATGGGCCTGAGGAGGACACAGAAAGCAGCACAGTTACTCCACTGTATGCGTGTGCATGTTCATTCACACATTTGTCTTGTAGTTTGGGTACAAATATTTATTTGTCATTGAGTGCCCACTCTGTTTTCACTGAACGGAAACAGAGCGGGCACTCAAGGCTCCCACTGACACTTGTTTGATAAAGTGCAAACACATATTGTTTGTCTGCAAGGATGAATAAGTGAGCGGGTGTTTGTGAAGGGCTCCACAGGGCCTGCCACAAACATTGCAAATTAAACATTAAAATTTAATCTAATTAAACATTGAAAAAGCAGGAAGAGCAGCAAAGTGTGCAAAGTATTTTATTATTCATGCCCCGCCCTCAGCCAAAAAACTGGATGCTTGTAAGAAAACTTGCAAGATGAGTGTCTGATGTTTTCTTTTGCTTGTGTGCATGTAGATCGCCCCAAAACACTTCTTCTCATAAGATCATCTGACATTGTTTACTGACTCCACAGTGGAACAGTCAACCTCTTTTGAAACTGGATTTTGGAGAAGTGTGTTGGACAAACAACCTCTCTTGTGGTTTTTACTCAAATCATTTAGACTGTGCATCAGTAACTGAGTGGGCGTATGCATCTTCTCCTGACTCGCCTTTGCATTCAAGGCTCTGCAATAATCAATCAATGATCAGCCCACTACTGACTGATCCGATCACCCTGGGCCATTACTTGACCCATTTCTACAGCAATATGACACCCAAAGGCAATTATCTAAGAATATAGCCATTATTCCAGGCACACCAGCTCCCTCAGTATTTCCATAATCATTCTGCCGGGATGTAGAAAAGCTGGAAAGGAATTCGGGTTGCACAGTGGGAGAAAACTGTAAAGCTCTCAATCAGCGCTTGCTAGCTTATAATATTGTGAAATAAGCATGGTAATAAGGCTAAGCAATGACACCCTGATTGTGGAAAATGCTAGAATAGTCACTTCTGGGTGGTCGAGCGGTGGAAACAACACCGAGATCAAGGCGCAGGTCAAGTGTTTAGATCACATCACGGTGCTTCACATGCTGTCAGAGAACCAAAGACAACGTATAGGAAGCAAATTAAGAGAATTGGAGAAACGATACGGAGGGGCCTGGCCCGACGCTGCAGTGACAGCTAGCTAGTGTTGCCTTGCTAGGTAGATTAGCTGAATGCTACCCAGCTAGCCAGTTAGCATCGTCGCACACAGTGTCGTTTCACCTGTCACCGCCACAACTGTCGCACACACAGCGCAGTCTACAGCTAGCTATATCCGTCGTATTTAACCCCCAGCTAACGACTCATTAGCAAATGCTAGCTGGTTAATGCAGATATCGACACGTCGGCTATCATTAACGGCTTCTCCGTTAGCTTCCTAATCCCGGCCCTGCCCTCCGCCTCAGCGTTACCTCTGAATTTCAGTTCGTGTTGTGGCTCTAGCACCAGGACTTGTTCTGGTCTGGCCATGTCCCAGGGCTTCTTCCTGTCGTGACGGCGAGGACGACAATATTTTAGCGCAGGTAGCCCGTAGAGGTGAAGCAGCTGGCTCCCGGAGAAACAACCCGGCCGTCCTCGGTTTTTCTACGGGTTGGAAGGAGGAGGAGGAGGAGGAGATTTACAAATGCGACCACCACTCGGACTGACAGGCTGGCTGGCTGACTGACTGCCACCGACAGCTGCTGGAGGCTAACGTGCTACTGCTAACTGTGCTAGCAGCGGAGAGCGCGAGGGAGGGGCGCGGTGACGTCACGCGGTGGGAGGAGCCGGCGGGGCGCGTCAGCTGATCTGTTGAACGTTGAACAAGAATCCGAGTCCAGCAAACACAAGATTACTGAGATAACACGGTACTTTGAACACTAAGCCGTCGAGATTGTGACCTGGGACCTAAATAAGACTTTTACAAATAGATCTTTTGCAGTTAAAGGCCCCAGATATCCCTAAAATTCTCCCATTTTATTGCATTTTTTGCTTTTTTTTGTAGGAAAGACATTTTTTTTAAATGCTGTACTGAAACTACTGTTTATTACAATATTGTGTAGGCTCTAAAGTTGTCAAATATAAAGTCCCTTTCTGGTCATTGAATAAAACCTAAAAACTCATCTATCAAAGTTAAAAGTGGTTTGGTTTTAAAATGGCCAATCCAACCTTTCCACATTCGCATCTGCAAGGGTGACACAGATTTTGTCATCCACCCACGTCTGAAAAGGACCACGTAGACCCCTCTGCAGACTCTGCAAAGTTTTTGAATTCACTGACTGTATGCACTGCAAGCATGCAGATGACACATGTACCACAGAAGTAAATGTTGTGCAATACTTGTGATGAGAACAGGTTGAAAGATTTTTTTCTTTTTTTTTAAAGATAGTTTATTATTCCTGCAAGGGAAAATGTCTTTTTGCAAATAAAGCTGGGGTTAGGGTGCAAGTTCAGCCACACTGCAGCATCCCACCAGCAGACAGGGTTAATTCATGTTGTCACTACTGGACTTTTGAGATGAGTTGGATTTGAAAATGCTTTTCATCGACGCAGTGGGAAGTTCTGAATTCTCCAGAAATCCTGTCCTATGTCCGCCCACTGCGCTCTGCACACCTTGGGAATAATCACGAACATGGTGCTACAGTCCAATCTGTAAAAAGCTGCTATATCCTATAAAAAAAGTGCCTTTCAGACACATCCTTCGCCTGTTTTTCTTCCTTCAAGGGGCAATCCACCAGACTGTGCACACACTGTAGTATCAACAGCACTGTTATGTGTCCACTTTCAGATCCACATCATCATCCTGCACACACAGATGTGGAAAGCAGATGTGACCAGAGATATAACTCTACCTCACGGCTTCGTCGAGCATGTGCAGCTCTATGAAGACCCCAGCCCTCTCTCCACCCTCCCCTGCAGTAGGAGGTGCAGCTGGAGCACACCAGCTCACCTATAACTCTGCTCAGACACTGTGAAACTACTCTATGCTACACAATGGCAATATTGGAGTGATTCAGTTATACATGTTTAAACAGGAAACTGATGTTGAAGAAGAAGAATAATACAGAAAGCCACATGCTGCAGGCTGACATGATTGGTTCCTTGGGTTTGTTACGTATGTCACCCTGGAAATCTAAGCTGTGATTGTCATCAGTATGCTGTATTTTCAAGGTAGAAATGCTCAGCCTCGGTGTCCAGTGTCTCTTTCACTCATGATGCATCTTCTAGCATCTAAAAAAATGCAGTGTGCACGGGTTAACAAGGTAAAAAACGTGATGGTCACAGGAAGGGGCCTTTAAACATTCAGTAAAAACACTAGAATCTGTCAATAAATACCGATTGTGGATGCATTTTTGATTATACTCCTGTGAAAACCATAAATGTCAGCAAAACTTACAATGAACATGAGCCTCAATAGAGCTGACTTGATGTTTGTTTCGTCCTTTTTAGTTTTTCTGTATTGTGAACTAATCAAATCCATACAATTAAAAAGAAAAAAAACAGAACTGCCCACTTTGTAATAGCTGCAATAAGATTCTGACACTTTGACTTTCAAACATTCAAACAGGATTCAATCACGTAGCTTCATAATAGGATTTGCACAGCAGGGGTTAGTTCCTGTTGAGAGCTCCAGTTGGCTCTTGTTGCCTCCGCTTTACTTTATTTTTTTAATTTCCACACACATCTATGACCGATCAAATATTCTTTCTAAGTGTGGGAGGCAGCCTCACAAACACGAGGCCACGTCAGATGTTTACAGATCTACATTGGGAAACAGTTTCCACTATTGGCAGTGCAGGAGTTTGTTTGTTGAGACTCGTATATGGAAGACATAATTTACAATAAATGTTTACATTCCCAGAATCTTATCTTTTCCCTTCTGGCTGCTAAATGTCATTTGTAGATTCAGCAGACCTCATTGAAATACACACAAAAAAATCAAAGCGATAAACTTAAAACCATTTAGGTATTTGTTTTGTATATGTCTTTATCATATATTAGAAATGTTTAGCGTCATATTTACTGCACGTCTCTACAGCTGATAGCTTCTACAGTCCTGCAGGCCCATCAGTCACGTTGTCCTTCCGAATGCAGACTACATATACGTCTCGCCTCCATGATTAGTGCAGTTTACACCAAAGAACTGTACAAGCTGCATCTCAATGGAGTTTTGCACGAACAGTTAAAAAAATCCCCCACAAAAAAACAAGTATATTTAAATGCACAGATCCATCAGGTGATATTTCCCCTGCTGTGCTGTTCATCTTTATTCATCTTGCACTCCTTCTGAACCTCATTCTAAAAGCAGATTAATAGCAGGTATGGTCTCAGTAGCTGCTTTGGGTGCTTTTTTTTTTTCTTTTTTATTATCTTGAGGCCTATTTCTGTGTACTTAAAGCAATCATTTATTCGTTTTCTACTCACCTCCACTTGTCATAAAATTTTACTGACACTCAAAAAGAATTTTTAAACTGATAAACTGTTGGGTTTCTGCACACATGTGGCTGTAAAATGGATAGTTTGAGAAGTCTGCTGGTGTTAAAGCTGAAAAACAAAAGCAGACAAGTGAAATAAAACACTGTGAGATGGAAGTACAGAGACTTAACACGCAGCAAGTTTTGAGTAAAACACTAATAACCATACTTTTTCTGGCTGCAACACTTAAGCAAGCTGTTTTTTTAGATATATTGTGCATCCTTTCACATACATTTGTGACATTTTTGGAACATGTGGGGTCTCTATTACAAATTATAGTTCAGCTTTCAAGGTGGACAGGTTGTACTGTGGCCCTGTAAGTTTAAAATGTTTAATTTTTGACTGTCCTCTTGGCAACCAAGCTGAAATGTCCCCCCAAAAAACCTCCACCAATGAAGAGTTGCACTTTCAGATATTTATATCTTTAACTTTCGACCTGACTTTCTGAGGCCGTCCTGCCAGAAACTCACTTCACAGCCATCACGGTCGTCCCGTATAACACAAACTCTGCGTATCTGAAGAGGAAATGACTGGTAAACGAACAGGAAACTTCACTTCCTCTAGCGTGGATTTACTGCAACCCTTCCGGCTGATGAAAATTTAGGGATAACAAAAAAAATGCTGCTGAGGAGAAAGTGTGGAACAGCGTCACCCCGCGTCCGTACGAGTGTTTTTATGTGTAATCACAGACCTGTTTGCTGTCTGCACCAAAAGAAAAATCTTTATTTCTTAAGAGCTCCTGTTCAGAAAGTAGAGACCCATATTTGATGTACACATTAAATGAAGACTAGGGCACTGAAATGAGAGAGATAGTAATACTGTACAGGCCGCCTCTGCTGCAACAAGCCGGGCAGGAGGACCCCCTCCTCCCTCATCAGAAAATAAACTAATTCCTTTTTTTTTTTTTTTTTGCCTTTTTTTTTTTTTTTTATAGCAAAAGAATACGATTTGTGTAGAAACAAGCAACGTCTTGCATCTGTCCTCTCCTGCTCAACCCGTCAAAACGCTCTTTGCAGATGTGAAACGGAAGAAAAAACAAAAGAAACCTGAACACAAATTCGGTTGAAAGGATTTAAGTTATAGCAATACGCACACTATCAAGTGTACAATTTGTCAAGGTTCATCATTTGATTTCTAATAAAATACTTTTTTTTTCTTGTTTTTTTTTTTTAAACCCATATACATTTCATATATTTATCTTTTTGGGGTATATGGATCCAAAAATAGACATTTAAATCATAAAGAGAGAATGGGAGGAAAAGGGGGGGGCTGGGGAGGAGAAATAAAACTACAAAAGCTACGAATGGTTGTCCGCCACCTCCGAGGAGAGAGAGAGCGAGGACGGAGGAAAGAGAGCGAGATAGAGATAGAGAGATAAAGAAAGAGAAGGAAGAAGCGAGGGAGGCGGGGAGTTAGGGGGGGATTGGCCAAGCTATACAGCGCAGTATGACACCCACTTTAGCTCATTACACACGTACAGTCGTGATCAAGGCACAGGGATCTTCTAAAAGTTTTTTTTTTTTTTCAATAAAGTTGTACAAAATAATACATTTTACAGTCTGTACAAGAATAATAGTTCAGCAGTAAAGTAAAGACGGACATACAAAGGAGCAAGAGGGAGGAATGATGGAGGGAGGAATGGCAGGGAGGTGCAAGCAGGTTGTTTGACCGCATGAGTAAAAAAAAAGAAAAGAAAAACAAAAAAAAATAGGAGTCCTGTTTGTTGTCATCATCATCTTTTTTTATATTCCAGGATTATAATACTTTATTTTCTCTTAAAACAACAACAACAACAAAAAAAAACATTGCCAGGAAGTGCAAATGAAAAGGTGGTGGTTGGGGGAAGAGGGGGGAGAAAATGAAAGAGAGAGAGAGAGAGGCTGAAGATGGAGAGGAGAAAGAAAGAAAGGAAGGAAGAGAGACAGAATGACAGACAGAGAAGAGTCAAGATAAAGAAAGAGAGCGCACAGGGCACAATGGCACAAAAGTCCACACAGACAAAAACAGCTGTGGAGACAGTAAAACAGGATGAGAGAGTTCTCTTTAACTTATATGGTACTGTACTGTAGAAGGATGCTTTTTGCCCTCCGTTTTAAGTTCCATAAAAGTTGGCATTTTTGTTTCTTTTTTTTTTTTCTTTTCTTTTTTTTAAATTTTAACTCAGTATATCCTCCTCACATTTTTGCTCCACAACCAACAAGGCAAAGTCAGGTGGCAAAACAGTTCTGTGGAGAAGTCGTCCCTGTCAAACGTGGCCGAACTCCATCAGAGAAATTCACATCGGAGTCGGATCCGTCCTGTTTCTGTGAACCCCTGAACTCACCCCCACCCCCCCCCGAAGTCTCGCTAACACACCCGTGGTCCGTGTAGTCTGTGGTGACGCTGCTCCTCGGGGCCGAATCTCAAAGCGCCGCTCCAGATAAATGGGCTGGCATCTGGCGCTCAGTTTTCCGGATTCCCTCCCCTCGGTGGTGCAGTCCAGTAAAAAGCAGGTGTGATACACTTCTGTGTGCAAGCAGAGCCTGTGGCTGGATTTAAAGACGTCCGTAAGTGATAGGAAGGTTTGGTGTTACATGGTTCGAGTCAAGTCCTGAGCACAGTGCTTGTGTTTTTTTTTTCTTGTTTTTCTTAGATACAGTGTTCAGCTGATCTTTTATTTACTCTCTATTTGCAGTAATTCAACAGTTATCTCTTTCCCAGTTGCACTGCAGTAGCAGCAGCTCTCTTTAGTTTCCATCTCAAATCTCATCAACAGGGAAATCACACATCTGCAGCTCAAACCCTCCTCGCTGCAGGAAACTCAGTCCAGACCGGGCCGCTCTGGGTTTTCAGAAAGGTGACGGTAACATGTATGGAGATGATGCTGAAAGGTGAGGAGCTGGAATATGGCGTCTGTTCATGTGTTAGCCCCCCGAAGTCTTCCATTAAAATAGCTCTTTCTACATCAGGTAGGGAGTTTGCATCGAGGAAGTTCTGGGTGTCTTTACTGTAAATGTGTGTTTGTGTGTTTTGGCCCCCGTTCGGTCACCAGAGCTCACACACTTCTGTGGAAGAGGAGAGTTCAGAGACTCGGGGTTCAGGGTTGTTTCATAGTCAGATCCGTTTTTCTGTTTTTGGCCAAACACCTTTTTTTTTCTCCCATCACAACAGCTCGTACTGCCGAAGGTGCATCCGCTGGATGATGTCTCGACAGTCGTTGAAGACGCGGCGGATGTTTTCTGTGTCGACGGCGCAGGTGAAGTGGGGGTAACAGTAGTGCCTCCCGTCCCCGCTCGCTGTGCTGATCCTCTGCAGAAGGAGAAAGAAAAACATT